GTTGAGCTCGGTGTGATCATCGGGAAGACTGGAAGGGATATAGTGGCAGCAAATGCCGAGGAACATATAGCAGGTTACGGTGAGCTATCCCTGGTTACATAGCTGCAAGCATTGAGCAGGTGTTTGTAGCGCTTGGAATCGACATGACGGGCCGAAACGTACAGGACGCGGCCAAGAAGAAAGGACTTCCTTGGTCCACTGCGAAGGGCTTTGACACATTCACTCCTATTAGGTAAGTGCTCAATTTAATGGCCTTATCTGATCTGACTCGAATTAACCAGCGACTTCATCCCAAAGACATCGGTTTCTGACCCAAGTAATTTAAATCTTTGGCTGAAGGTGACTATTTTCTACTAGTACAAACGATTAGTATAAATCTGACCATTCCGTCAGATAAATGGACAATTCAAGCAAAACGGCACTACAGGAGACATGATCTTTCACATTCCTCAGCTTATTGAACATGTTTCCTCAATTATGACATTAGAGGTGGGTCAATAAACTAGTGAAGAAAAGTGTAGTTCTGATCTATTCGTTAGGAGGGTGATCTGTTGCTAACTGGAACTCCAGAAGGCGTAGGCGCCATTCAGGCTGGGGACAGGATCACCGCTGGCTTGCAGTTGCCTGATGCTAGCGAGGTGTTAGCAGAATTAGAACTAAATGTGGTCGATCGCAGTGGCGGTTATATATTCCAATCATAATCCGGTAGTATTATTGGGATTAGAATCTATTGATACAACAACCGGCTATTATATATGGACAGTTAGGGATAAGTGTCAGGGACAGACCTATGAATGTGATATGAGAATGATATATCAAAGTAGCGCGTAAACCTGCAGGAAAAGGCACTCTATTCCGCACTAGGAGGAGCCTTGCTCGCCCAATATGTTCGCTTCGAGGATCTCCGCAGTTGACCAGGGCGAGGAGACGATACTTCTAGCTGTCTCTTTTTGTTGACGTGAGATGTAGGTTGGTTTGAATCATAATTGTCAGCCTCCTCTTCGCTGGAGTTCATTACGTATTCAAATGGCGGGTCGTCAAGCTTCTCGAATCGGTTTATTATCCGACGTGAACCACCTATTTGCGGGTTAACTTGAACCCTTGTATAGCGACTCTCATGTTCATCCTCTGACAGTCGCCTTTTCCCGGCTCTCCCACTCTCTTCTCCTGATTCGTCGGTGAGCAAGGCATGAGTAGACTTGCTAAGAGTTTGTGGTATGGACCGTGATCCACGGTCGGAGAATTCCATGTCGGACTCGGCCTCTTCTATATCAAGTGATGTGATATCTGAGATGAGGGGAGCTGGCAGGTTGAGGACTACATGCAGCCTCCCGCTATCATATGCAAGTTTGATAGATGCACGCTGTCGGACTGCCTAAAGAAGCGGTCAGAACAGTGATAATAGCCCTATGGTATGAGATAACTGACCTCTGGCGACATGGCAATGAGCCTACCGAGCACAGTTTGAATAGGCTGCACAGGCCGTAGGCTGAAATGATAAGAGGATTTACGTGACTCAATCTCCTGGCTAACTTCTAGAAGACGAGTCTTTAGTATTAGTGCTGCGCCTGCTAAGGTTTGCCGAAGTCGCAGCATTTGGAAGGAGCCCCGTGACACGTCATTAGCTTTCAGAGAAGTTAATGATGCGTCATGTTAAGGAACACGTAATGCACGCACTGTCGTCAGTTGGGTCACTTATTGAAAGCAACCAGGGTTTTGACATGTCCAACCAGCCCTTTTGCATCTTCAGGAAGTAGGCGCCCCCTTTGTTCAAGCTGATACCGACGTTTTGATAGTTCATGAATTGTCCATAAAGCTCGAAGAACTCGACCACCAAGACACCAATATTTTCTGAGGGGTCAATCTCGCCGAGTCGTATCTTTGGGTGTAACTGTGAGAGGATTTCAGTACCATTGACAGAAATAAATCATGATACCTTACTTGTAGGAAGCTAATCGCCATACATATGATACTATAACTTCCAAGGCCACCTTTAAAGACTTCGTTCATACCGCGTTGGTTAAGATATGACTTGATGATAAGTATTAGAGGCTTTAAGCAAGGAAATCGTTCCAAGTATTTTTTGATTACGAGGATAGCAGCAAGCCCAGTGGTCTGATTGAGGGATATATCGATGGATATGCCGGCTGATGATTGGACTCAGCAAGTGAAGTATCACATTATAAATTGTATACCATGTACTGAGTTGAACTTGACGATGGGCACTCGAGCGGCTATCACCTGGATCCGCCTTCTCTCAGCAAGTCCAGCATTCCTCAGAATGGTTGCGAGTTGAGTAAGACTTCGTTGAGCATTATTCTTGTT